CTTCTATCTCACTTCTCACTAATGGAAATCTCTTCCAGCTTCTTACTTCCCAATCAACTTTGATATTCAAAAGTTTAAACGCAATATCAACTCTTATTTTCTTAATTCTTGTCCTTTTCTTGTTCTTTAATAATATTTTTTTCCTCATAGACTCTAAAACTCAATAACTCTTTGCATCTTAGTGGCAGTATTGCTTTGCTTGGGGTGAAATGATTATATATATATATATATATATATATATATATATATATATAGAGAGAGAGAGAGAGAGATAAAAATAAAAATGAACATTGAAGTCAACACTCAGAGGCAACAGGCTGTTTCATGCTAGACACAATCATTAAGCTTGACGATTGCTTCTAGCATGAAACAGTCTGTCACCTCTAAGTGTTGACTTCAATGTTCACTTTTATATATACATATGCTCTATCTCTGATATTGAGCACTTTATTCCATAAATATAGCACACCTTAAAACTATGTTTCTTCATATATATATATATATATATATATATATATATATATATATATATATAATATTTTGTTTAAAAATTCCAAATCTATAGATTTGTTTGTGGATAAAACTACAGTAAATATTCTTAAAGACTTGTCCTATACTCACTTTGTAAGTCAGTCACCCCCCTTTGAAATATAGTGCAAAAGAGGAATTAAGGGAAAGTTTTTCTAGTCAAAATCCAAAAACCTTTTGGGGTACATTATATATATATATATATATATATATATATATATATATATATATATATATATATATATATATAATATTAGTGGTCAATATATATATATATATATATATATAAATAAAAAATATATGTATTTATGAATAAAAATGACAATAGGAAAACTAGTAATTGCTGATGCGTTTCGTCCAATGTGGACTTTATCAAAGCAAAATACGAAATGAATTTACTTGAACAAGGTAACTAATAAAAACAAAAAACAGAATGTTCCTAGCAATTGGAATATAGAGAAACGCTATTTTCATATTGTTAACTGAAAATAATGTCAGTATTTGTCACGTGTGGAGAATATTGTCATTATATGTGTTGATGTATTCAACCATTTTCTTTTGATTTTATGAATCTGTTGTGTACATTTGTTTGTGAGAGCAGTAATTTTGTTAAGAAAGGTGAAATCGGGAAAAAACCTGGGCATAGATTAATATTTGGGTAATATTCTATGGCGGCACTCTCTAGAGAATGCCACCATAGAATATTACGCATCAGCAATTACTAGTTTTCCTATTGTCATTTTTATTCATAAATATTGTCTTCTCTACTGGTTAAATCAGAGAAATTTTCATATTCAAATATATATATATATATTTATATATATATAAATAAATTCCCAAGAGGATAGAATCCAGGTAGAAATCAATGTCCAGGACAGTGTAAGAATATGATATAAAAGGCTGAAACACTAATACTCCATGGTTATAATTTATTACATTGGAATCGTAATCACAATCCAATTCATCTAACCTACAAATTCAAAAAGAAATCGGAAAATATAACTCCGGGTATAAAAAGCAAAATTTTAGTGAGAGTATATGTGTAGGAGTGGGAAACAAGTGTGAGAGGGAAATGTATGAAAGCTCTAGAGAGAGGTGTAACAGAAGAAAGAAGAACAGGAATTTATTTATTAGTTATTTAACTTATCTCTTTAAAACTTCTTTCTTTTAAAATTTAATCCCAACCTTCACCTTTAGGCCTTCCTGTTCTTCATGTTACATCTATCAAGAAGACTCATGTTACATAGCTCAATTAGAACCAATTTAAACACACACAGAAACCTACCAAAATCCATCTGCAACATACTTGTAGAAAATACAAGTATAATAGCCTCATTCACATGTAAAATAAAACTAAAAACAATGCAAACACTTGTTGCAGAATTTGAGCTGATTGGATGGATCAGAAGGTGTAATTGTGTGAAGGCTTAAAAATGTGCGTGTTCGTTAAACATTCATCCACAACAAATAAAATAAACAAACATTTGAAGGCAATTCAATTGGAAGAAATCAAAGATAAACAATGTAGCTATAGATTTCAACAAATAACATTCATTTATATACGTTTGATATACACAAGTGAATTTTAAGATTGCTTGTTCAATAGTGAGATAAATTTGTAAAGAGTGACCATGCAGTGGTTTGGTGTATGAAAGCTTGTAGTTAAGGTTTGTCTATGAAATCAAAACAGTTTGCTTTCTGCAAGGTGAAATGTCACTTGTGTGGGTTTAGATATTAGTGTGTATGTGTGCGACAATTGTAAATATTGTTTAAAGGAGTTATGTGCCTTTGATTGATATGGTAAGTTGACTAAATAGAATTACTACTATGTCACTTTTTCTAGTAAATCGTAAGTTGGGTCAATTCGCGCGACAAGACTTTCTGAGTTCTGTTGAGCTGCTGAGAGAGAGAGTGGCAGTTGTTGAGTCAGTGTGCTGGCACACGCAGAGTTTGTTGGCATCTCTCAAAGACTTAGTTACTGACTGCCTGAATCAAGTGAAGCGATCCTATTTTTTGGGTTTCAATCCGGCTCCAGATAGGTGAGCGGGAAAACAGATTTGTCACAACTTGCTACATTTTTTGGGTCCTTTTAACCAATGAGAAGTCAAGTTTAGAAAAGTGAAGTAATGATTGGTTAAAGTTGGTTTGGGAGAAAAGTACATTTTTCCGCAGGGGTGAGTAGCAAATATGAAGGATTCCATTACACTAATAATAAAAAGAAAAAGCCAACACTTAATAACATTAGCTACAGACAGCTACAATGTTTGACCATGCTTGGAAAATAAAAAACGTCCCATCACTGTAGTAGCATAAAAAAAAATGTACCCATTCAGTTAAAAACAAAAAAACATCTTTGATAATGGCTAGCAAAATAGCCTAGGGTGTACAAATATGTAGAACATTTCAACAATTTATATGTATGTGTGAAATTTGAATGAGAATAGTAAATATATAAAAAAATTTTTAAAACTTCTATTTTGATATGTTTTTTCTGATGAATTGGCATCATCAGAAAAAACAATTTTTATTTCAACAAAATCTACATTGGTGAGATAAAATGTAATTTATGTTAAGCATATGAACATTTGATTTTTACTTTAATTTTATTGTTATCAAAATTAAATTAGATTTTAACTAATTTCAACTCAGTTTTTTTATTTATTGATATATTCACATATCTTGAGGTTTGTATATCCAAAACAACTTAAGACTATTACTACTTAGAGTAAAATCAAGACAAATAAGATGAAAGAAATACTAGTCAAAAATTAATAATAATTCAGACAACTTAAGACTATTACTACTTGGTGGAAAAATAAGAGAAATAAGATGAAAGAAATACTAGTTAATAATGAATAATAATTGCCAAGGCTTCCTCTAAGAAATTCTGACAACTTAAGACTATTACTACTTGGTGAAAAAGTAAGAGAAATAAGATGAAAGAAATACTAGTCAAAAATGAATAATAATTGACAATGCCACTCAGTGTTGACCTCAGTAACTACACTTTTATATTTACATAATCTCTATCCCTGATATTGAGAACTTTTACTCATAAATACAATACACCTTAAAACTATATTTTTTATCATTTTATCATATTTGTGTATATATATATATATATATATATATATATATATATATGTGCGCACATGTGTGTGTATAAGTTTGTGTGTATGTGTGTGCATATGAGGTCATACTGATATTATGACAATCCACCTTTTTGGTTATTTAATGTTGAATTTATGGGATCTCGGTTAAGATCAAATTTACTACTCAATAGTAACGGTCAAACAGGCCATCCTCATTAATGCTTAACGCATGATGAAGTGCTCTGTGTGTGTGTGTGTGTGTGTGTGTGTGTGTGTGTGTGTGTGTGTGTGTGTGTGTGTGTGTGTGTTTGAATATTCACACTTTGTGGATGAAAATCCTAAAAACTAAAAGAGTAAAAAGAATATTTATAAGTTTGACTACCAGACTTTTGATTTAACAAAGAGAAATAATATTTAAGTGTATACACATAGCTTAAAAAAGGTAAAAAAAAATTGTTTAAATGTAGTCAGTGTGTGTTTATGAATGTGTCATGTTGCTGAGGGAAATTCAAAGTTTCCCCAAAGAAGAGTCCCATATTGTTCCAGAGCAAAAAGAGAGAGAGAGGGGGTGGGTATGTCTATTGCTTTTATAGTCCTGAATACCACACTTAATAACTATGGTTGAATAAACCCATGTTATATCTATACATACATACACTCGCACATTTTGAGAATTATAGCAAAAAAACTATGTGTGTGATCGAATGTTGTTCATGCGTTTCCACAGTTTTCATCTGATTTCAATGAAATTTTTTTTGCTTGATAGATAATTCTTCAGTGCCAGTTTTGAGTCCAAATTATCGGCGACAATGGTTCTCCACTACTTCCTGTCCATTATAACTCTCAGCAACGTTTTAATATTTACTATCTGTTCTTGGATATATATCTTTCATAAAAACTTTAATAAAAATAAATAGTTTAAATTATTACAATAATATTATTTATTATTATACAGTTCCTTTTTCATTCCCCCCCCTTCAAATTGTTAACCCCCCCATTTGGGGATGTACCTCAGTTGCACCCAAATGTTGTTACTAATACTGATTTTTGGGTGGGCTGACTTTAAACTTAAACTACTCCAATTGAACAGCAAAAATTCCCAGTAATGAAAAACCCGGTCAAAGACAAGTTATACTGCTAGTAGTATATATGAGGGAGAACTGCAAATGAGAGTATTTTATAAGGGAGATGCAAATGAGAGTATTGATAAGGAAGCAGGACTACAAATGAGAGAACTGATGAGGAAAAATGACTGAAAGTGAGAGTACTGATGAGGAGGAAAAATTACAAATGAGAATATTGATGGGTGAGAAGAACTTCAAATGAGAGTATTGATGAGTGAGAAGGACTGAAAATGAGAGTATCTATGAGTAGGAAAGACTAAAAATGAGAGTATTTGTGGAGGGATAAGGACTGCAAATGAGAGTATTGATAAGGAAGAACGACTACAAATGAGAGAATTGATAGGAGAAAAAGACTGCAAATGAGATTATTGATGAGGGAGAAGGAATGAAAATGCAAGTATTGATGAGGAGGAGGAAAGAATATTGACAAGGAAGAAGGACTAAAAATAAGAATATTAATGAGGAGAAAAACTACAAATGAGAGTATTGATAATGGAGAAGGACTGAAAATGAGAATATTGAAAAGGAGGGAAGACTGCAAATGAGATTATTGATGAGGGAGAAGGACTGAAAATGAAAGTATTGATAAGGAAGAAAGACTACAAATGACAGTATTGATGGTGGATAAGGACTGTAAATGAAAATATTGGTAAGGAAGAAGGATTACAAATAAGAATATTAATGGGGAAGAAGGACTGCAAATGAGTGTATTGATGAGGGGGAATGACTGAAAATTAGAGTATTTGTGAAGGAGAATGACTGTTAATGAAAGTGTTTGTAATGGGGAAGATCTGTAAATGGGATTGTATTGTGATCAAAACATTAATCTCTGCCTACTAATATATCAAATCATAAAAATAGCTTGTTGCAGTAACTACAAAGCTACTACTGATATTTTTGACAAAAACACATATTTGGTGATCTGATTCATTAACAATAGAGATTATAACAAAACTAAAATTACAAGCAAAATAAACAAAGACTGTGCAACAACTTATTTACAACAGCTGATACCGATCATAAAATGATCCAAAAAATCTTAAACCTCACCAGGTAATATTTTATAGAAAATGCCAATTTTGAATTGACAGTAATATCATTAACAAGTTTGGTTTTTGATTGATTTATTTGTTTACAGATTATCAACCAGGTTTATGTATTGATCTATATGTGTGTTAAAGGAAAGAAATAATGAGTTGTGTGGGTTTTGTATTTATATAGGTTTTTACTATTTTATTATTGTAATAAACATAAGTTACAATACAGTAGCCATATTGAGCTAACAAGTAGTGAACTGAGCTACATTTCAAAGCTGAGTGCTATTAACTTTTGAATTGACATTCTTTTTATTAGTAGCTCAAATAAGGGAAGGTTATTTTTAAAAAGTAGCCCAAAAGTTGCAAGTAGTGAAATTCAAAAATGCTTGGCTTTAAAAAGTAGTTCCAATAGTGAAAAAAAGTGAAATTCAGAATTTAGTAATATTGAGTTTTCAAAACTGGCCTCAGTAGTCAAAAGTAGTGAAATTCAGAATTTAGTAATATTGAGTTTTCAAAACTGGCCTCAGTAGTCAAAAGTAGTGAAATTCAGAATTTTGTAATTCTGGGTTTCAAAAGTAGCCCCAAGAGCAAAAAGTAGTGAAATTCAAAATTTACTGATTTCATCTAACAACTCTGGTTTACAAAACAGTCAGTCACAGAAGTCCTTGTAATAACATTGGTTTAACTATAACAAAAGTTATATAGTACTTCATTCTTGAAGTATTACTGCTGTTTTTTTGTCTCTGTACACAAAACTTTGATAATATTTCTTCTTTTGGCTGTACAGATAGGTAGTAGAACTCAAGTGAAATCTGATGCTCACATCTCTACTGATATTGGCTTTGATCTGGGCCCTGATTCAGCACTACCACTTGCTACCATCTCTATCTGACTAACCACTATTGTCCTTATATATATATATATATATATATATATATATATATATGAAGAAAAATATATGGAAAAACAAAAATCCGAATATGCAAATATGCTGTTTTAATGTTATTTCAGTCGGCATCAGACGTTTCAGTCTAGTAGACCTTCTTCAGGACATAGTTATTAAAACATAATTAACATTAGACGATATTCAAGTCAACATGAAAAGATGATAGACATAAGAGTAAGACTAATCAAAACAGAATAACTGAAATTTTTAAGATCAGCGTTCCGTTTCACAATATGACCACATCGGCGTCACGTGGACTAGTATTCACCGTGCATGAGATAGATATTATGCCTGCCTCATAAATCTGTCTAAGATTTTTATTATGAATATATTTTAAAATCTTCACAGAATCAAAATCAAAATTATGATCAGATTTAGTTATGTGTACAAATAAAGCATTGTTTAAATTACCGAGTGAATATCTCGTTTATGTTCGAAAACACAAGATTTTACGGACCTACATGTTTCACCCACATATTTTAAGTCACAGTTGTTGTATGAGATTTGGTAGATGCAAGCATCGGATGTAATACGTTGGTTGCTGGTGTTATTTAATAAACTGACAGATAGTTCTAGTAGGTAATATTGTAGTTTTAATTTTTAACGCATTTAAATTATTGGAGATACATTCGGTCAAATGGTTATATGGTAGAAAGATGCAACCAAAAGAATTATCAGGGGCAGCTGAAAGTGTGCCTTTTACTGATGTAATTGTAGTAGTGGTCTTTGAGGTGTCATTTTGCGCTGATTTTTCACAACATCGCCCATGTGATGCCGACGTGATCATATTGTCGGATCTATATCCATATATATATATATATATATATATATATATATATACATGCACATATGTGTGTGTGTGCATGTGTGTAAATATTCTCAGATGGAGTATATTTGTAGAAGAGACAAAATGAATGAAAAGACAAAAGGAAAACCATACTTAGTTTAGTCGATGCATTTTGTCAAATGTGATGGTTTTATTTTGTAACAAGTATATATTTCACAATTACTCAAAATTTTTCAATTTTAGAATGCTCATAAATATTCATCAGGTTAACTGAAAAGTTTAGGTTTTAGAGCGTAAATTATGTTATATAGCATCTTCGAAAGGAAATTTTTAAATTTAAAGACACTCATAAATATTCAATAGGTTAATTGAAATGTTTAGGCATTTAGACTTTAGATTACATCATGTGGCATCTTCGAAAGGGAATTTTTTAATTTTAAAGACACTCATAAATATTCATTAGGTTAACTGAAATGTGTAGGCATTTAAACCTTAGATTACATCATCCACAACACAAAGAGAAAGGCACAAAAAATATATCCTGTTGCTATACATAGGGTCTTCCAGCAGCCACTTTGATTGAAATGCTGTGAGTTTTATTGTGGAATATTTTTGGCATGTTCGTAAATATTGTCTGTTATTGTGTAGAAAATAAAATTTTGACTTGTTTTAATATGGTATGTAAGTGGAAATGTAATTGTGTTGGAAACGGGGTCTATTTCCAATAAGCCCTCTTTTCCTGGGTTTATTGAGGTTCATAAATTGGTGAGTGAGTTCAGCAGGATTGTCCTTCACTTTGATACAGGTTCATTGATCTTTTGTTTTGCTTGTTCAAGTATCAAGTTTCAGAAACGAAGTTAGCAGATTGATATGTTCTTAAGAATGCTAGTGTTAAGGAGATGACACTTTTCAAGAGATTTAAGAAATATGCTTATTTTATTTAAACTGAACCTACAAGTTTAACAATATAGTCATTACTTGTATATTCTAATTAATAAGAATGTTTAAAGGAAAGATCGCTGCTTAAATACACTATATTTTAAAACATAAATAATAATATAATAATAATTGAAGAACAATACAATAAAAAAAATGTTTGCGTTTCTACTGTGCGGCTGATTACCGGAAGTAGGTAGTGAGTAAGGAATTCTGGGTAAGCCAACATGGCGCTATATGATTTGTTAGCAATCGGGTTAGTTGGTAAGTTTGCTTCTTCATGACAAATGCGCCGGGTTTAATTTATGAAAGATTTGTTGTTGACAATATCTATTACTTGATTTGTCTTTGATGAAATTCCTTTAATATAGGACCATATTTTTGCGCTAAAAAAAGTTTTGTTTATAAATCCAAAAAGATGGAGGCGTAACTTTGAATCGGGTCTTTTGGCATTTTTAACACACAAAATCAGCTGTTTTTTTAATAAGCCATAAAATTAAAAAGTTAGAGATTAATTTACAAAATAATAGACAGAATATGTATATTTTTAGTCTATCGTTTTACTACCCAGTGAATGAAAGCAGCATTCTTTGATTTTTTTTCATTATTTGTTTTTAATACTAATTTTTGTTTCCTCCCCAAAAATAAAACATTGGAAGAAAAACAAAACAAACCCCAAACAAAACAAACATGGGGAGTTTTTGCATTGTTTTGTGTTATTTTTTTTTTTACTCACAAAAAATCCATAAATAATTCCATTACTAACATAGGAATTATTTTTTAAAAATCGTGTTTACAATTGTTTCGGGATAAAAAAAAAATAACTTGAATGAAAAATGACGCGAAATGAGATCCATACAAAATATACGCTTTTTTTTGTGTGAAATTAAAAATTAAATGAATTCGATTTTCATAAATTTTGTATTTTTAGAATGGAGAATAATTGAAGAAAATTTTAAGATAAGAATTATTTAAGTGGAGAATAGTGTTTGAAAATTGTTTACAGTTGAGAAAAGTAACTTGGGGGAAAAGTAACGTTTATTTTCATTTGGTACATGCAAAGAAATTCAAAAGGTTTAAAAAAATTAATTTTTAAAAATGAAAAATCTTTCCTGAAGCTTTATTTTAGTTTTGATTTTAATCGAGATTATTCATAAGCAAAATCCTTTTTTTTTTTTAATTAATTTAAAAAAAAATACACGAAAATTCAAAAAATATACTATGCTAAATTTTCTTACTTAACTTATTTCATTACTGGTTAAATTTATTTAAAACCTTGTAAATTGTTTTTATTATGGAGAGAAAAAAAAAAAAACACTACCCCGACCAATACGAACAATAATTTCCCACTTTCCCTTACAAGTTGGGCCGAGGGGAGGATTTGCATTTTTTTCCAAAACCTAACATTCCACTAGAAATTTTAAAAAATTGAGTTAAAAAACAAACAAACATTTCTGCCCTTATATAGCCACTAGCCTTCTTCAGGTGTCCATACTATATTTGGTAACCTCAGAATTTTGAACTGAGCTCTGTTTTTTTCATTCCACTAGGGTAGAGTGTTCTCATGCTTAGGGGATATTTCATATCAGTTACTTGACAGTTTTATTTAACTTTGTGTCACTTGTGCTTTTCTTCCACGAAACCAGAGTATAAGACATTTAAGGGCCAATGCACATTACCACCGAACCCCGCAACCAGGGGTGGCCTAAGCCTGATTGGGGGCCATGAGCAGTGCTTTGTCACCTTCAACTATCTTATCAACATTTGCTTTTTTTCTACCTACATTTATATATGTTACAAATTAAACTAAGCACAACTGAATATTAAAGGTTGAAAAATTTTTGCAGATTTTTTATGCCTTTCTGGGATCTTTTCTTTTTCCATCCAAATCTGTGAATTTGTTTTGCTCGTGCAAAAAAGTCTGAAAAAAACACTACATAACATTCACTATTTTTTATCCATAATGTTGAATGTGTTAAAATTATTCAACAGGAAAAATTCTCAGATCGTTTTTAAACAATTACTGCAAAATTGTGATGCAAGTCTTACTTATTAACTCATAGCTGGAGGGAGAAGAGGTGGATTCATACCTTTAACAAGGGCATTTGTATGTAAGTAAATATAATGAACCCAACAGGAATTGCAATTCAGCTCTCTGATTAACAATTCCAAGCCATTATCTATTACATCACTCGCATATGCAAGCTTACAGCACCTGTTATTCTCAGGCAGTCATCTAGGTACTGACCAGCTTTGATGTTGCTTAATTTCAGTGATTGTACAGAGGTACTGGTGATGTGAGTGTAAGCCCTTATATATATATATATATATATATATATATATATATAAGATCAAATGTAAATTGGAATCCGACAGGGTGATAAGATAAAGAACAAATAGGAAATGTTTATCAATCCAGCATGTTTCACTTTTATTAAAGCTTTGTTAGAGATTCTCTGATGAAGTTTTAATAAGTGTTAGATTGAAAAGCATTTCCTATTTGTTCTTATATATATATATATATATATATATATATATATATTTATTTATATATATATATATATATATATATATATATATATATTTATCTTATATATATATATATATATATATATATTTATCTTATATATATATTCGCAGTACTTAGGGAAAGTGCTTAATATCTGTGATAGAGCTAACATATTCAGTTGTATGTATATTAGCTTGTAACCCTGGGGTTTCACACTTGCAATCATCAGACAATTGATTAAACTAATATCCATACAACTGTGTGTGTGTATATATATATATATATATATATATATATATATATATGCAGTTTTATATTGGATAATTGAATTCACATTTAGTGCATCATCAAGTCTAATTTAGTTTTACTGCTAACATATTTAGAAAAGCCAGATTTGCACAAATATATCCTTATAAACAGTAATAACAATCCAGTAGCCTGTTTCAATAAATGTGGATATTAACTTATTTTTTGTCATACTAATGTGACAAGTGTCCCCCAGACCTTTGGACTATAGTGTGTGTGTGTGTATATATATATATATATATATATATATATAATACAAATATTAAGTTTGCCACTTGGTGTTACATTCAACATCCCAACTCTAGAGTTTCCAATTTGCTACGTCTCTCGAGGATCTAGACAATCATGGCTCTCCACAGATTCTATTAGATAAAGTTGAGAAGAATTAAAAAGATGTTCTTCCAAAAGAATTGTACCATGAAAAGAAGTCACTTGACAAAGGATGCCATGATACATACAATTAAAGAAATTAACCCTTTCCAATTTTAAAAAAAATTTTACAATTTCTATGGCAACTAAAATTTAAATTTAATTTGTGTGCTATCTACAGTAGTTAAACTCTCTCTATATTTTTAAATGTCATATCCCATTGGGATGGATTCATACCTTTTCCAAGGGTATTTTCATGTAAGTGAATGTAACATTCTTTTTCTTTATTATCTGCAAATTGCCATAACTTCTTGGGCAAGATAGTGAAGTGTTTTTCCATTGCCTTCTCCATGGTTATGAATTCAGAGTTATTTTTCTCATAGACTAGCTGTCAGCCAAGGCTCAAGAGCCTAATCTGCTATACTATTTAACTCATAGCTGGTACGGAAAAGAGATGGGTTCATGCTTTTTCCAAAGGTATTTGTACAAAATTGAATGCAGCATTCTAGTCTGTTCACTGTCCTCAGAGGACATTTCTAATTCTTGTTGTCTCAGAAGAGCAGAAAACATAATGTAAAGTAGCACACATCCCGAGTAATACTTGTTTGAACTGTTACACTCGGGGTGACATTTTAGTTCTAGGACAAAGCACTTGAGGGACAGCTTTTATCCTTGGGCCCTGCATAAAACAAACACTGACAATTATCAATGTATTCTAAATGTATTAATTTTCTTTCTTCATTTGATGCTGTGCATGTTTTTTTGTGTGTCTGTATTGCCCTGGGAGACTGCTGTTTAATTTCATTGTTCATTGCACAGTGGCAAGAAAAATAAATGCATTGAACTCGGCTCATTGATTCTACATTCGACACTGATGACTTTTTTACTATAGCATTTCTGAATATTGGTATTTCTCTTTCTACAGAAAAAGACAACAATGGAGACAGTCTGTATGTGTGGTCATATCCTTCAGTCACAAGTGATTTGCAAGAAAAATTCCTTCAACGCAGTAACATGGCAACTGATTCTTCCCCTTGTATTCAGTTTCTTTACAGCCAAACAAGTCATCTTTGGTATTACATATTCACCAATCAAGTGCAACAACCATGTCAAAACTTAGCAAAGGTCAGAAAAATAATTTTCTTTCTCTTTATTCATCACCATTTTTCTGTTTTTTTTTTTATTAGACACTAAAAAAATTTTTTATTTATTACTACACTTATACCCTTCAGCATCAAGCAGTAGCTGTGATCATCTTTTATTCAGGGTCTATCTCTGGTAACCCCTCACACAGACACCCCCCTCTCATAAAACCTATATGTGAAATCGTTACATTGTTCCAGAGAATAGTAAACTAATTCTTTGTGGCATCAAAGAAATATCATTACCCAAGATTTGTTATATAATAAAAAAAATTATTTGCAACAATTATCAGTCCAGTTTCTTACTTCCCTGCCACCTAGGATCTTCAGAAAATTAAATGCAACCATTATTCACCATTTTCTGTCTTCCTGAGGCCTGTTCTTTTATTTTTTTTATTACACTTAAAAAAAAAAAACATTCTATTTATTACTACTCTTATACACTTCAGCATCAACCAGAAGTTGTGATTCTGTTTTATTCAGGGTCTATCTCTGGTAACCTCTCACATAGACATCCCCCCTCTCATAAAACCAACATGTTACAATGTTCCAAAGAATAGTAAACTAATTCTTTGTGATATGAATGAAGATTTGTTATATAATAAAAAAAATATTTGCAACAATTAATCAGTCCAAATTACACCACTGTACCATGGTTTCCCTCTGTGTTTTCTATAAATATTTTTATGGAAGTTCTAATGATCTCACTTTCTTAGTACTTCGATCACATGAATTTAAGCATACTACTAGATTGCCAACAAAGTCTCATCGTTTTACTTTTGAAATAGCTAGATGTAACTAAGTTCTATTCTAATAGTTTCTTTTCTTGCTGATGTAACTCTCTTTCAGGTTCTTGCTTTTCTGCCACCTAGAATCTTCAAAAAATTAAATGCAACATCAATTGCTTTCTTCTGTCTTCCTGAACCCTTTTCTTTTATTGTCTTTTCTCCTCACTAAAGTCTTCTTATTCTCTTTCACTCACATAACTCCTTGCATCCTAGGTCTGATGATAAACTACAAGGCCACTAATTCGAAGGTTTTGAGGAGTGTAGAACCACCTCTTAACTGCCATTGTTCCCAGGTCCACCATGACCCAGGGTGGTAGCACCTGTTAGTGTCCCAGCTATGGGCAAATAGTGAACCCTTAAACTGGGATCAAAACATTATGAAAACATAAAAATACACTTTAGTAGTAAGAATACCAGCAATACATTTTCATAGTAAAATAAAATTACCAGCAATACATTTTTAAAAAAAAAAATTACCAAAGCTCCCAAGAAAATTAAATTTCGGCATTAAATGATGCTTAAGGAGTTAATATGACTTTGTTCAGTCAGAATGATGACTCTCTCCTACCACCCCCTCTACCTATCTCTGTATCATGATGTGCAACTCACTCATAGTTGGCTCAAAAACTCTCTTGATTCTAATATGACTCTGCTCATATAAGCCTGCAAATGGAACTTCCTAACTTCCAGCCAAGTGGCACTTGATTCTGAAAGTTTTCATTATTTATTTTCTCTATTTCCTTTGAATCAGCAGTCACCTGTTGATCAAACCTTATTCCATAGATTTTATTGTCTGCAATATCATAAAAAGCTGGTCTGGAATCAGAGAAAATCATTCACAAATTTATGGTTCTGTTTTGAGCAGTTTTTTTTTTTTACTCTTATCAGAACTGGTTGTGTATTTGTGAATTTGCTTTGTTAAACATGCTTTTTCATTATTTACATTATTCAAACTATTGTCCTCATCTTTGTCATCATATTTATTACAACGTTTCGGCCATTGTACGCTCCAGCCTTCTTCATGTGGTTGGAATGTCAAACTGAGCCATTTATTTCGCTCACACAGTGGATAAAGGCGTTGGTTAGATCCAGTGACAGGACCCAAAGAGTGTGAGTTCAATACCTAGTTAAGTCAGTGAAGAACTTTCAGAAGAGAATTAACAGGAGATAACTTACATCCATTAGACATGGCGCATGGAACTAGAACAGTCTATCCCAGCGAGTGAAATAAAGGGCTCAGTTCGACATCAGCTGAGACACTAACAGGTGCTAAATAGTGTACATAATACCTCATCTCAGAAATATAAACAGATGCTTTTTCATTTTAAATATTTGTCATGTTTGCTTTTGTTTGTTCTATCATGAATTCTGAGACATTGAAACTTAACTAAATCTTTTGCTGTCAAGACAATCCTAATCTTTACAGTACTAATGTTGAAAAAGCACTTTGTTGTGCTTTATGGGTGTTCTAAGCCAATTGCATAGGGGATCTATTGTGTCACAGTTAATACTAACTCAGAAGCCACTAGATGATACTGACAGACATCAATCATGGAAAAAAAGCAACCATATGTTTACTGAATCCTCCTACTGTCAACTAGTGTCTATATATTTTGAAAATATTTTGATTGCTAAATGTGTTCAATTGCAATAGAGAGTTTCAGATTCAAAAGAATCGTAAGTTTGAGATCATAATTCCAAGGATCAAAAAGTCAATCTCACAAGTCCAACATCAGAAAATATTGGGACTGTCAATCAGAATGGTAAAAAATTCACATCACATCTCGCAACACACAACTACCTCTTCACCCAGAAAAGCGCAAAAATCTTGTGGTTGAAAGTAGCATTCTTTTATTGGGGTAGGGAAAAGTTGTGATTGGTCGAGACTGGTAGGGAAGAGCATACAATTACCATATTTCAAGGCCTACTAAAGTTGGCTTAGTCTTGATTCAGATAACAAATTCTTTTCTGAGGCGCTTACAGCTATATCATGTTGAAACCTCAGTTCCTGTACAATTACCGAAATTAAGCAACATTGAACCTGGTCAGTACCTAGATGGGTGACCACTTTTGGTGCTGTAAGCTTGGATGTGTGAGTGGTGCAATGGCTTAGAATTGTTAATTGGAGAGCCGAGTTCCAATTCCAGTTAGGTTTATTATATTTACTTACATGCAAATACGCTTGGGAAAGATATGAATTCACTTTTTCTCCTCCAAGCTATGGGTTAATTAGTAAGACTTATATCATTAAACCATTATTATCTACGCCCACACCAAAAAAAATTATTACAATCTAAAAATATTTTTTAGCTTTAAATAACCTACAAAGAGTTGATAAGCCGTAGAAAAGAAATCAATCTTTTTTGAGGTAAAATTTGGTTTTCTCCATTATTGCCACACTAAATAATCACTTTGTAAATACTCCAGTCATCCATGAAAAAAAAAAACAACTTTTATCTTTTTTGGTAATTAAGATCTTTGATGTTATATGATCATAGTACCAAATTTTTTTTGTTTTTTTGGATTTTTTTGTTAATGGTTTCTAATTTTTTTGGCATTGTAGGTGAGATTTGTCTCCCTGATTTTAATCACCAAAGACTTTCAACCCGAGAAATACAAAGCTCTGTGTGAACTTTTGTTGATGTCCTATTTGAAATCAGGAGATCCGATTGAAATATTAAAACTCTACCTAAGTGTCATTACCAAAGGCAGCTGTGCGAGTGGTAACAACAGCAGTTTTTCTGTATCTGACTTTAGTCAGAGACAAGCATATGCCAAAGCTGATCTCAGAAGTAAGTGAACAATTGATTCTTTTGATGTGAAACTATTGCGTTTGTAAATTTATGAAGAATTGTATGCAATCAATATATATATATATATATATATATATATATATATATACACACACACACACACACACACACACAGACACACACTGTGCGATAGATAAATTGTCGTCTGAATTATGCAAAAATGAAAATAACATTGACATCTCATTTTAACAGATATATTTACGAAAATTACACAAAAATATCTTGAAATACTAAAGAGTAAATTTATTCAACAAAATTGCCATTGGTTTCAACCATGGCCTCCAGATGACTTTGGACTCTCCAGCATCACTTCTGGACAGTCTCCTAGTTTAAGTTGGTGAATACTGCCATATTCCTTGCCTTCAGTACATCTTTTATGTTACAAGGAGTTTTGTTGGTTTTTCACTCAACTGCACTCTACACATAATAATCAAGGGGTTTCAAATCTGGGGAGTTAGGTGGCCAGATGTAAGAGGTGATGTGGTCACATAAATTGTCTGACAGCCATGATTGGATTCTCCTGCTTCTGTAGCATGGTGCAGAGTCCTGTGGCCAGACATAGGATGTTCCAGCAGCCACCCTCTTAACCCAGAGCAACACTACCTCCTCAAGTCACTTGATGTAGGCCTCCATGTTGAGTCTTAAACCCTCAGCAACAAATTTGGGAGTTATTTTCTTATCAAAATGATCAGAGTGTATTTTCCAAGCTGATGTACCATTGTAATCACCATTAGACTCATCCAACTCTTTTCAAATCATCTGCACTCTCCTCTGATTGACACACAAACACTTTGAAATATTCGTATTGGAGTTTCCTGTGTGAATTTCCAAATTTCTGGTGAAGTGGATTGCATCATGGTGCTCTTTTACTCACAGATGTTGCCAAAGTGACCCTACTATACTGTGCAGTCAATAAAATCAAAAACAATGTGCATGTGCAAAATTAAGTATATAAAAAGTAAACAATTTGCCTATCGCACTATATATATATATATATATATATATATATATATATATAAAAACAAAATAAAACAGCTAACAGTGTTCCTACTCCACTTGGATACAATACATTCTCCTGTATTATTTGTAGTCTTTTGTGAAATTCTTTAATTGGTCTCAAAAGTCAGGCCCATCATAGGCATGCAGATAACTAGTTTGTGGTCGTCAGAACCTCATACATCAAACTCGATGGGAGAGTCCATCATGTGTGTGTGTGTGATCATTTCACCCCAAGCAAGGCAATAAAGCCACTAGGATGCAAGTGGTTACTGAGTGTTAGAGAATATGAGAAAAACTACCATTAAGGAGAGAGGACAATAAATGAACAAGAATTAAGAAGACAGAAGATAACTACTGACATTGCATTTAAATTTTTGAATATCAAAGTTGGCTGGGAAGCAAGAAGCCAGAAGAGAGAGGTGTGATAGAAGAAACTGCCAGCATAGAACTTACTTGAGCTTAACAAAAGCCATGCTGATGGAAGGTAAAAAGGGTTATCTCAGATAATTAAAAGAGAACAGTTTCATTTTGAGGCATTAAAATCAACATATACACACAAATTCATATAACTTTTTTGTGTGTGTGTATATATATATATATATATATATATATATATATATATATATATATATATATATATATATACTCATATATATAGTTCTGATCAAATATGAACCAGAATCCAACAAGATCAGAGTCGACTGGGAAGCAAGAAGTCAAAAGGCAGTTCCACAAGCAAGAAGTGTTATGGTTACATGTAGCCATTTCAAGTGTAAAACGATGAGACCTAGCTGCCAATCTAGGACTAGGCACAGGAAGCTATGTTATGGTGGTAGGAAAGGAATTGAAGCCAACATGTCAGGTCATTGCAGGTTCTTCTTTAGATTTTATCAAGAATCTCTAAATATATAGCAGGAGCACTAGAGCATATGTGGCAGTGGTATTCAAAGCATGGATGAATGGTAGACTTATAAATATGTAAGATAGATTCTGGCAAAGAAAATTGTCTAGCCCATCATAGTGAACCAACTTTCTTAGCTGCAGACTTAGCAATGGATTCACTATACTCTTTCCACTTCATGTCAGCTGAAAATGTTAGTCTGAGAGGGTACACAATGTGTCACTCGCCTGGAGGTAAGCAAAAGCCAAACTGATGGAAGGTAAAAAGTGTTCACTCAGATAATTAAAAAAGAACGATTTCTTTTTGAGGCATTAAAATTAACAAGCCACTCCTTGCCTAATTTAACAACAGATTGTGGGTCATTTTTGAGATCAGTAGCAAATTTGGCCTTATTGAACTGATCAGACTTACTATTAAGTTGCACTATTACCATATATATATATAACGTGTATTGAATAGGTGCTACTGTTTGTAGTTGGAGGAATTATAACTTGTTACTGATTAGGATGAAGACTTTTAAAATAAACAAATTTAACATTTTCAAACAGAATAATTTTCAACACATGGAGGCAAAATGTTAGGATTTTATTTTGCAACAAGTATTTATAATCATAAGTAAAAATGTTGTTAGTTTTTCAGAATTTTTAAATTTAAGAATGTTCCTAAATATACTTCACATAGCCTGAAAGTCAAGGTAAACTAGGGAAGATGTTAAGTGATTAATGTCTAATAAACGAAAGTGAGTAAATGTTGATTTTTTTTATTTAATGTAATTATTGTTTATTTTATTTTAATTTGAAAAATTAATTTATGTATTTATATATTTTAAATAATAGAAGACTTTGAATTTAAACATTGTCTTTTAATTTTAAAAATATTTCATTGTCAAGCTATTTTGGCTTGGGAAAAAATATATCTCTAAATTCAAAACCAGTTGGGCATGTGGCTGGTAGCTCTACAAAAGCCTACTTTTTTTCTTTTAAATTAATTCAACCCAAGCAAGTCAATAATGCCACTAAGACACAATTGGATACTGAGAGTGAAAGAGAATGAGAAGACTTTAGAAGGAATCGAAAACCCAATCCTACAAGGGATAAACCTCTACTCCTGTTCAAAAGATTGGGGAAGAGTATGAACTGAACTTTCAAACAAAAACATTTGTGTGGTGAGGTAGTGGCTCTATACTCCCCATGGAGTGAAAAGGACTAGTCTCATATATTGGTATAGGTATACCAAACAATTGCAAAATGACTTGAAAGAATTTTCACAAGTTTAACCCTTTAGCATTAGCAATATTTATGAGGCACTCAAACGTGCCTCATAAATATTGGCTCTGAAAGTCTCACTTTTGTGGTCAAAGTCTCACTGATTCCTATCAAAATTCCACATCATTTTTGCTTTTTTCATTAACTTAGAGCTCATTAAAAGAAGGACACTATATACAATAAAATTTGTATTAACATTAGCACTTTCAATTGGAATCAGTTACAAAGTCTGCTTGGTGATCCCAGAATAGGAACTTCACAATAGCATCTCATATATGGTTGGTTTTAGCATTGTTATATGTTTTTTTAAATGTGTTTTTTTTTTTTCATCTTAGATGCTTTTCTTGTTCTCCTTTTGTCTGTTCTGTTATAAATTCTAAGATATTGAAACTTAAATTTTCAGGTGTTATCGAATCCTTTGCTGTTGAGACAATCCTAATCTACACAGCACTCATGTTGAAAAAGCATGTTGTTGTCTATCACCCTAATATTGAGGAACTTTTACATTTTATGAGGTATATTGCTTTTTTCCCTTTTCCTCCTCCAAAACGTTAATTTAATGTTGCAAAACTTCATGAACAATAAATTCTACCGGGATTGACAACTAAAGGTATTCATTATCTTATGCCACTGATCTTTTCTCACCTTTTGCCTGTATCTTCTCATCCTTTCCCTTATCCTTTCCAATGTTTGTTGCCTGTTTTTGAATATGAGAGGCTATCTTGATAGGGTTAAATTGAACTTTGGTCTATCAAGAGGGTCTCCCATGGCCAAATTGGTAACAGCATGCTTTGTCTATAGGAGTGGTTTCCCTGATGGGAAAAACGGATACAGTTTTGATTCCTGTTAGGAAGCACAGTTGATCTTCAAGATCAAGGCTGGTTGTTATTAATTGCACTGTTTAAGAAATTAAAAACAGCAATATCAACTTGAATACATGTACACACTAAAAATAATGTTTATAGTAATAAGGAATAATATTTATACTAATTTTACACATACATACACACACACACACACATTCTCATATTTATGTATATATGTTGTGTATTTAGGCAGCAATCCTTCATTTATGCATGTTTCATTAAAATGACAGGCAAGGTACTATGATTAAGCTTTTTATTTAATTTTTCTTGTGTTTGAACAAGCATTTTCTTTTTTGGACACAGAGTAAGTAGAAACTGTTTGGATTTGTAAAATTTACTAGCATTTTCATTTTGGAAAACTATAGATTGAATATGCAGTTGAAAACATTTTTAATATATAGCTGAAAAACATATATATATAGAGAGAGAGAGTGAGACTGTTTTAGGGTATGATATATTTAAAAGTTCTCAATATCCTGGATAGAGCATGTTTAAATATAAATGCAACCAGTGTGATCATACCAAGTGGCAACAGATTGTTTCATGCTTAAATGTATGATGACCAGCATATATAAGCAGTTTAGCTACCATGCAACACACAACCTGAAAACCGCGTTCAAGCATGGGACTGACTTGCTACTTTGTGTTGATCTCGGTGTCCACTCTTTTATTTTTATTTATTTATATATATATATATATATATATATATATATATATATATATATAATTAACACATTATGAATGAACAAAGTCCAACAATTATTTTAAGACATTTTTATATTTATACATTCTTTTTATAGATACAAATATTTAAGTAAATGCTCTGTTTATAATAAACAGTATTAAACAACATTTACCAGCCTGAATGTCCGAGAAATTTTCATAGAAAATATGTGTCCTCCGACAGGAATCGAACCTGTATCCTATACGGAACCGTCATATAGCCTGACGTGCCTTTAACCGATTGGGCCTTAGAGGAGCGTTCAGTTAGCAAGGTCGATTTTATTGTCTTTAAACTACAATCTTCCATGATTCTCTCACGTATGTTCATATCTGCTCATGGTGTATCCAAATGTAAACAAATGACGTCACACATTATGAAATGGACAAAGTCCGACAATTATTTTAAGACATTTTTATGTTCATGCATTCTTTTTATAATTAATATAATTAACTAAACAATTGGTAAATTTGAATATTAGGATGGTTTAAATGTTTTTTTTTTTCTGTATTATATGAATGTTGGTAAATTTGCCGTGTTTATTTTGTATTTTAGAATGCTGAAAAGATTTAATTGCTTCTAAATATTGTCATATTAAAATAGCCTCTAGCATGGTGTGTATTTCAAATTTGAAATTTGGTGTCTATGATTAGCATTTGTTTTGTGAAGTACAAATAGGATATCTGGTAATAATTCAATAGATTTATTGGAACCTCTGACCATGAGAAGTGGTGTTGCAGAAAACACTGGAGTCTGTCAATAGATAAATTGCTTGGACATTCATTAATTAATATTCTATGCTAACAGCTTCTTTTCTCTCACTTCTTCTTGCTTGTGGAACTCTCTTCTGGCTTTGAGTTTTCCTCTCAAGTTTGATCTTCAAAAAATTTTAAAATAATGTTGATTGTTATCTTCAGTTTTCTTTGTTGGCTTTCTTTGGATTGAAATGATATATATATATATATATATATATATATATATAATAAAAAGGCTTAAACACTAATATTCCATGGTCATAATTTATTCCATTGGAATCGTAAATACGATCCAATTCATCAGACCTACAAATTCAAAAAAGAAAACAGGCTGTTTTCATCAGACCTACAAATTTTTTTTTCATCAGACCTACAAATTCAAAAAGAAAACAGCCTGTTTTCTTTTTGAATTTGTAGGTCTGATGAATTGGATCATATTTACGATTCCAATGGAATAAATTATGACCATGGAATATTAGTGTTTAAGCCTTTTTATTATATCCTTACTCTGTCCTGGACATTGAGTTCTACCTGGATTCTATCCTCTCAGAATTTTTTATTCAAAAAATATACATATATGTGTATGCACCTATGTATATATATCTATATATTTTGCATATGTATGTGTATATTTACCACTAATATTATCTATCTATCTATCTATCTATCTATCTATATATATATATATATATGTGTGTATGTGTGTGTGTGTATGTGTATAGGGTCAACATAGGATCAAATATTTTGTATGCAGTTTTATTTTATTTTTTGGGAAATAATAATGGTTACAAGTCTTACTAATTAACCCATAGCTTGGGGGGAAGAGGTGGAGTCATACATTTACCAAGGATATTTATGTTTAAGTGAATATAACTAACCCAACTGGAATTGGAACTCAGCTCTGCTTAACAATTCCGGGCGTGCACATCCAAGCTTACAGCACCTGGTATTCCTAAGTGGTCACCTATCTAGGTACTCACCAGGCTTGACATTGTTTAACTTCAGTGATCGTATGGACACCAGTGTTTCAACCTGATGTGGCCGTAAGTCATAATGCATATGTTTCCAGATTAATGAGGTCTAATTATTTTCAGTTCTGTTTTTCTTTCATCAGCTTAAAATATTGCACAGAATCAGGTGAAAATTGCCATTTATGATTACTATTTGAAAACTAGAAAACCAACCAGTACATGCTGGGTTTAATAATCAGGTCACATGACCCAACATTCACTTAACAGTAATTTTTGATTGATGTTCTTTCATGACACTTGGTTTTGTTTTTTGTTCTTGTAGGAGTTTGCCAGGTTTGGTGTGGCACCGACAGGACTGGAGTATTGTCATTCCATTTATTACATTAGATAATCAGGAAGTTAATTTGGATCTAAAGGGCCGGTCCAGTTATGTGGCTGGTTTCACAGATGCTTCTATCCAGAACAGGTAACTGCTGTACTACACAAAAACCTTTTCATTGTTTATCTAATAAAAACATTGCTTTCTTAATATGCTCTTATCAACTAGCTTTTACCACTCTTGAACAAAGAATACTTCCCTGCCTTGCTACTTGCTACTAGATTGGCTTCTAGGTCCCACACTTTTACTGTTGAAATAGCTAAACACAACCACCATGATGCATACAGTGAAAGAAATGAACACTTTCCAGATTTAATTTATTTCTAAATTTTATGTATTCTATGATAACTCATGTTTACATTCAATTTATATGTGAGCTATCTATCCTAGTTAAGGCCTTATATTTTTTTTAATGCTATGTCCCTTCAGGATGTAGGAAATCATGGCTCTCCACAGATTCTAATAAATAAAGTTGAGAAGAATTACAATGATATTCTTCCAAAAGAATTGTGCCATGAAAAGAAGTCACTTGACAAACAATGCCATGATACATATAGTTAAAGAAATTAACCTTTTCCAGATTTATTTTATTTCTATAAGATAAACAAAAAAAAAGTCATTTTTTACATTGTGTGGGGAAAAAGTAATCACTGATATGCAGACAAGTCCATCATGTGCCGGGGAAAGTGATTGGGGTGGGGGATGACCAGTGTTTGTACAGTGTTCACATACATCACTCATAGCTCTAACAGTGGCGAAGAGACTTGGGACTATTGAAGCAGATTATTTGGGGGAGTTATCTGCTTTCTGAACCTGAAGGTGAACTTGTTTGCAGCCACATCCATCAAACCTTTGGGAATAATGCTGTGAATGAACGCATTGCCAGGCATTGGTTCCAGAAGATGAGAGATCTGTCCCTTTGTGATAAACCCTGCAATGGCTAGTAACAGGTCCAGGATGATGAGGCCCTGAAGGTAGCCATAGAGGAGGACAACAGCCAAACCTGTAGTGAGCTTGCCATATACTTCCAGGTTTCTGATGAAACAGTCAGACTTCATCTGCACTGCATAGGGAAGGCACACAAGTTGAGCAAGTGGGTACCCCACACACTGTTGGAAACCAGCAAGCAACGTGTGACAGCATGTTTCTTGTTGTTTTCAAGACACTGCAACATGAAATGCTCATCAGTGATGAAAAGTAGGTCCTGTATGATACTCCCAAGTATGGCAGACATTGGTTGTCACCATTGGATCCTGTACCTCACATCACAAGACCACCTCTACACCCACGTAAGATCATGCTCTGTATCTGGTGGATTAGTCAACAAGTGGTGCACTATAAGCTCCTACCAACAGGACAAACCATCACGGCAGACCTGTACTTGCAACAGTTAGAATGTGTGCAACAGGCACTGAAGCAGAAGGGGTCAGCATTGTTTAATCACAGATGGTTTACTATTCCACCATGACAATGCCAAGCTTCATGTGGTGTGGGTGGCTAGGGATACCATATGGTAACTTGGCTAGGAGACACTGTGACATCTACCTTACTCCCCTGACTTTGCGCCAACAGATTACCACCTCTTCCATTCCCTGGACAACCACCTTCATGTCAAATCCTTTGCAAATAAGGCAAACTTCTTTGCATCCAAAACATTGAGGACTAACAGTATGTCAAATTTGCTGTATACCTTTTTTTTCTAATAAATCGAAAATGGCAAGGACTTTTTTGGTTTCCTTGTAAATTTTATCCGTTCTATGATAAATCATGTTTAAATTTAATTTATATATGAGCTATCTATACTAGTTAACACTCTGTATTTTTTTGTAAATCCCATGTCCCTTTAGAATTTGGGCAATCATTAGAAAACCACTGGCTTGTCTTGAAAAATGGAAATTCTATTGATGTATGTTTATTCTTGTCTTGTGAATCCATTTTCAGCTTTACTTTTATCTTGTTTTTCTCTATCTAAACAGTTTCTTTCTCTTTTTGTAGGACAGATCTTTATGATCTAATGATCAATCTGCAGTCTTGTGAAATAACTGTCGCTCCTTCAGCCAAAGGTATGTCTGTACATTCAAAATCAGCTCTTTTGAATACTATAAAAACAAAAATTGTATTATTTTTTTTCCATTTTTGTTTGTTTCATATTGTAAGTTTAATTCAATGATAGACTTGTTCTCATTTTCTTAAAAAAATGAAAAATCTCTCTATCCTGACAAATCATAAACATCTTGAATTAGAATTTAACATTCTTAGAAATTATGAAGATTTTTTTTTTAATCAATTCACCCCAACCAAAATGATAATGTCACTAAGACGAAAGTGGCTACTGGGATTGAAAGAGAATGAAAAGACTTTAGAAGATTTGCCCATGTCTAGGGCTGTCTTTTCTCTAGTTCTTATTTATAGTACTGCTGACTCATCTGTTTTCACTGAATCCAAGTACACACTGCCCAGACCAGGGATTGAACTCACAATTACTATGTCACCAAATTTACAAACTAATGCTTTAATTCACCAACATTTTAATCCACTAAGTTATTGGTTTGGGAATTTGGTGACCTAGTAATTGTGAGTTCAATCTCTGGGCCAGGCAGTGTGCACCTGGACTCAGTGAAAACAAGTGAGCAATAACTGAACAGTATTAAAAAATAAGAACTAGACAAGTTATCCATAGACATAGGCAGTGAAACAAGAACAGTCTACCCCTGTTGATTAAATAAAGAGTTCAGTTCAAAATTCTGTGCAAGTTACCAAGATCAATATACACCTGATGAAGGCTTGAGGGCACTACATCTGAAACGTTGTGATAACAACAACAAAGATGAGGACAATAATCCAAATGTAAATAGTGTAAATAATGATAACTCCTCACCCCAGAAATCCAGACAGAAATGACCCACATTGTTTACTAATGGTTAAAAACTGGCAATCTGAGAAGCTGCATGAAAAGCAGCTGAAATTAAGATGAAGGAAATAATAGCCAAAAATTAATAATGGTTGACAATGCTTCACTTAATAAAAATTGATAATATTCAATTTCATAGTTTTGAATAATGTTCAGTGTTTGTACTTTTCAGCCACAAGAAACGATTATTGAAACCCAGTCTAAAAAAACTGATTCCAATAATAATTGCAGAAAAAATAAACAAAAATGACTTATGTTTTCAAATTAAAAATGGATGCTGCTACTCATGCCAACAAAACAGGTCATTGCAGTGATCCATGAACTTAAAAGTTAAAATTGTCTTTGGGGTGAAACCAAATTAGAAGGGATGAAAAGAGTTATTGCCAATCAGTAATAAAAATAAATTTCTTTCTACAAAAACAATATAATAATCTGTTGTCTCAGCATGTCATTGGAAAGCAAAGAATAACCTGTTTATGGAAATATAAGAGGCGTTGCTGAAAAGTTCTCAATTCAACCAAGAAAGGATCCCTCCCTCATTTGGTCATTTAATAGGCTTTGGGGGAAATGAACCAGACAGAACTATTCATTACCCCTTGTGTAATTATTATATATGGGCTTATAGCCACATCACATTTAAACACTGGTTCCTGTACAATCACCAGAGTTAAGCAACATTAAGTCTGGTCAGACCCTAGAGAATACCAGGTGCTGTAAGGTTGGATTTGTGGGTGCGGGGTGTAATGGATAATGGCTCAGAATTGTTAATCAAAAAGCTGAGTTCCAATTCCAGTTGGGTTTGTTATATTCACAAATATTTATTTATTTATTATGCACAAATAATCTCAGGAAAAGTATAAATCAGTCTCTTTCCCCCCAGCTATGGGTTAATTAGTAAAAGTTGTATCACTAAACCATTATTATTTAAAAAAAAAAATTCTTACAATCTAAAAATATTTCCTGACTTTAAATAACCTGCAAAGGGTTGATAAGCAAAAAAATGAATGAATCAATCTATGAAATACGGGTTAACTACACCAACATGTCTTTTACCATCTGATGCCCACTTAGACATATTAGAATTTTTTACAAACTTACATACATATAGAATCATTTACAGTTTCAAAACACTTGATATATGACTGACCAATGAGAGTCAACCAAACAAAATTGAATATACCAATGTTCTGTCTTTTTGTCTATTTTCTCTCCCTGATGAAGCTTTAATAAAAGTGGTACATGTTAGATTGATAAACATTTCCTATTTGTTCTTTATCATTATCTGGAATATAAATGTATGGAAACTATCATGGCTATAAAGTGAGGGATCAATTTATATATTGATTGTAATATAGAATTGGTCCACACTTTATATCCACATTATAATTTCTTGTTTCTTTATAAATTCTGACCACCTCTTCTCCTCCTCCTCCTCCTTCTCAGCTATGGGTTAATCAGTAAGATTTGTATCACTAAATCATTATTATCTTCAAAAGAAAATTCTTCAAATCTAAAAATATTTTCTGGCTTTAAATAACCTGCTGAAAATGAATCAATCAATTATTATATATGTAATATGTATTTTTTTTTAGAGTCACTTGCACTGGGTAAACTGCATAAAGAAATAGCAATGTTCATGGTGCAATGTGCAGGAGATGTGCAACTCTCCAATCAGCAAGTCATTAAGGTAAGACAAGCTGCTAAAGTGCAAGTCAGATGAAAGATATATTTGTCAAAAATTAATAATGGTTGACTGTTTCCTAATGAATAAAAACTGATAATATTAAATTTCATAGTTTTGAATAATGTTCAGTGTTTGTACTTTTCAACCACAAGAAAAACTTCCTTTATTCATTGAAACCATCACAGTAGCTAAATACAAACAGATTCCAATAATAATTGCAGAAAAAAATAAACAAAAATAACTTATGTTTTCAATTTAAATCTGATACTGCCACTCATACCAACAAAACCATAGCACAGTGTTGAGATAAAATGTAGGTTATTGAAGTGATCCATGAAATTTGAAAGTTAAAATTATCTTTGGAGTGAAATCAAATTTGAAGGGACAGTGTATCCACTTCGAGGGTAAAGTTTTGACAAGTACTGACAATTTTTAAATAAATTTTTATATAATAAAATTTAATTTGGAATATGAATTTACATATGATGTATTTGTTTTCACTTTTATAAGAAAATAAATTTTATAATCTGAATGTAATTTTTATTACAGATTAAATTGTATCAACGGTTACATATCTCTTGTAAACCGTAAAAAGTCTGAAAATTGCTAAAATATAGAAATTTTTCATTGAAATATATAAAGGGTCTCTCATAAACACACACTTCAATATCAGATATACTTGCGAGTTAATTAACCATTTTCTTAATCTGGAATCTTCAACAAAACAATATGTTAGGGATATGCGAGTAGCATATTTGTGCAGAAAGTAAAAATGTTCAAATCATGTTGCATTTTCTTTTGAACTAACACTTTTTCACTACCCCCACTATGGGTTAAAGAGCTTGTTAGATTGGGCTCTCTTAGCCTTGACTGTTAGCTATTCTAGGTAAAGGATAATTCAACAGTCGAAAGGGCAACAGGAAACCACTTTGCTCTTTTTTCCAAGAAGTCATGTCAATTCACGGATAATAAAGGAAAGGCATCAGTGGAGAACCATGATTGCCTACATCTTGAAGGGATGACATTCCCCCTCTCCTCTCTGTCCAACAAAAATAGAACTATTTGAGGAGGACAACTGTGAATTATTGAAAACCGTAGAGATGGCAACAGGAAACCATTCTGCTATCTTTCCCAAGAGATCATGGCAATTCACAGGTAATAAAGAAGAGGATTCTGTGGAGAACCATGATCACTTTTACTCAGAAGAGATGTTACTTTTTTTTTTAGAAGCCAAAAGTTTAGAAGGGAACAAGAAAACCTCTCTACTGTCTTTCTCAAAAAGTCATAGCAATTCACAGAAAATAAAGAAAAGGAATCTGTGGAGAGTCATGATTGCTTCCATCCTGAAAGAGGGAACTAGTTTAGGAGACGGAAATGGAAAACCACTATACTATCTTTCTCAAGAAGTCATGGCAACTCACAGATAATAAGATGGAATAAAACTAGTAATAAAATAATAGTAATAATGAAGAGTGTATAGAGCCAGAGTGTTGGGATAAAAAGCAACAACAATAAGATGGAATGAAACTAGTAATAAAATAATAGTAATAATGAAGAGTGTATAGACCCAGAGTGTTTGGATAAAAAGCAACAATAATAAGATGGAATAAAACTAGTAATAAAATAATAGGAATAATGAAGAGTGTATAGAGCCAGAGTGTTGGGATAAAAAGCAACAATAATAAGATGGAATAAAACTAGTAATAAAATAATAGTAATAATGAAGAGTGTATAGAGCCAGAGTGTTGGGATAAAAAGCAACAATAATAAGATGGAATAAAACTAGTAATAAAATAATAGGAATAATGAAGAATGTATAGAGCCAGAGTGTTGGGATGTAAAGCAGCAGTACTAAAGTAATAATAATGGAAAGATCTTTCTTCTAAAATTTTTTAAATGTTTTTTTCTTCCCATATTGTTCTAGTCAATGTGACAGGCACCAAACTTAAGACATATTCTTTTCATCCCTTTATTTCAAAAGCTTTCACTATGCCATTTTCTTTTTCTTTTCAGGAAATCTCAGACAAAACCAAGGAACTTTTAAACAACATTAAGGCATTTTCTGTACCAGATGAAGAAACAGGCAAACCATACATTACAATGGAACTCCTGCAAAGCAGGAAAATGCCAAAGACAACTGAAAATTTCCTCTACAGTTTGTCTGTCTGTGAAGGAATGGTCAAGTTATAGCCAATGACCATTTGGCCTAAGCTTTCTGTATTGATTGCACTTGACATGACATCTTGTTCTAAAAGAGGAATTGTGTTTTTTTTTTTTAGTCTGTTCATTTTATCTGTTAAGATCATTAATGATGTTTCAACACATTATTTCTACAAATGTTATTTTAGTGAGTAAACGTGTTTAAGTAGACATTCCTGTTCGTTTACAAACAGGGAAATTAACATCTATCGGACTAGATTATTAAGGGTACATTGAAAGAAGATGTACCTGTTCGCAGGAAATGAATCTGCATTCATTTTTTCTGAGAAACCGCCTATTTGCTAATGTGTGCCATTACTATTTCGGCCAGGAAGTCCTTCCAGCAAGGCAAAGTTATGCATTTTAAGAAGTTTACATCTCCCGTTAAGACATTTTGATGTTTATATCTGCTAACTTAAAATTTAAGCAGTTAATAGTAGATTTGGTTTTCTTTTTTAATCTCACTATTTCTTAATGAAATGTTATTTTAGTATTTGCGTAGACATCACTGTTTATTTGGTAATGTTTATTTAGATAACATGTTTTTTTGACCCAAATGTTGTTGGGCAATGGGTACATGTTTCTGGGCTATTTTTTCACACTGAATCTAAAAATCAAGTCCATTTTGCCCCATCATGTCATGTTTTCTCAGTACAGATAATTTCATTTTTGCTTAAAATAAGCCAAAATGCCTAATTCATATGGATATATGCTATGGCTTAAATATGCGAGTGACATAGTTGAAGCATTTTGTTTCATGTTAAAATGCTTTATCATTCAAGAAAAAGAATCCAAATAACTTTCAAAATGAATTCTAAGCTATTTTAGTTCAGATAAGCTGACCTGAAAATGCTTGATTTTATGAGAGATATCTCACTGCAAAATGTTCTTGTGCTTTTAATCCTCTTAGCTTGTTAAAACTTTGTGATTTGTGTTTCTTCTTTACTTTTCATAGAAGAAGCTTTTTGGAAATCATTCAAAAACAGTGATTTTAGGTTTTATTTGTAGTTTTCACTTTAAGCCTAAAACTGTCATAAGATTTTATCATATCATTTGGATTTATGGAGCTCTGGTATTGTCATGCAGTCTCTGTATAACATACATAGGAACATTGATAAATGAGGGTTGTTAGGCGATCGAGACTAATAAGATTAGAATTTTTTTTATCAGCGCTTAAAATAGCCACCAAACACCAGATAGGCATAGTCAACTAGGTCCTTTGCAGATGGGATGTTAACAAGATGGCTGATTTCTGCTGGAGCATCAAAAGAGATCAACTTTTTCAAAAGCGTCATAGAGTTTCCAAGAATAGAAGATTTATAACTTTGGATGGACAAAAATGAATGTATTCTTTATTTCTTTGTATCTTCTTTGTTCTGATTCAAAAATTGATGACACATGTTAGCTTTAATTTAATTTTGTGTGAGATTTTTCTGAATACTTTTTCTGAACTGAAAATGCATTCTTTAAATTATTGGGATACTTTTTTTTTATGATAAGTTATTCTAACCTGAAATTGTTTAAGGTTGGTTCTACTTGGCCCTGGTATATCACTGTTAAATGGGTATTCTTAAGAAAAAATAAAAATTATCCGTACTGAGGAAACATGATGTGATGTGGAAAAATGGACCTGATTTTCAGATTCAGCATGAAAAAATAGCCCAGAAACATGTGCCCATGGTCCGACAACATTTGGGTAAAAAAAAATGTTGACTGGTGTAATATTTACAAATGGTAAAATTAATGCCTACCAGCCTAGATCATTGAAAGTCTTATTAAAGGAAATATACCTATTAGCTGGAATCTAACCTGCATTACCTTTTATTTAGGGAAACCATCTATTTGCTAAGTGTACATTTACAATTTCAGCCACAAAAGTCTGTATAGCAAGACAAAGCTCAAGTTTTTTAAGAAATTTACATCTCTTGTTTGGACCTTCAGGCATCTCTATCTGCAAGCTTATATTTTTGGTTTTAGGACAACAGATGTTAATTTCACTGTCTGTAAATGGACAAAGATTTACCCACTAAAATATGTTTATAATTATAAGAAATTTTGTTAGATTAAAAATCCATTACTTACTTAAATTCTATATTAAAAAATGGAATCAGTTGCTATCCTGGATCAGATCTATTGTTTTACCTGCATGCCAATCATATTTTAACAAATCTTTATAGAGATTGAAAGCTCCGCCCCTTACTTTTTGCTATATTGATCAGTTATCCTTCTCCCAGGCTGGTTGCCAACCAAGGCTAAACTGCCTGGTCTCTCAATTCCATTTTCTATGCTATTCAGGTTTAGGCTATCCACACGTCCATAAATGTTGAAGTAGAAGAATTTATTTCAACAATTCATTTTTATATGTGCATTGTTAATTTATGTTGATAATTTTATCGAGAAAAAGTATATTGAATGTTTATTGATTGTTCTTCTTGCAATGTTGTTATTGTTAGAATCTTTTACCTTAGATTAGATGTTATTCAAACATGATAATCTTAAATCAATAGAGATGAGGATGTTAGTCACTTGAATTCTTCATTACATTTGCTATAGACTTCTCAAGAGTAATTTTTCTTAATCATTTAACTCCGAGCAAGGCAATAAAGCCACTAAGACACACGGTGTTGCTAAGCGTTAAAGAATATAAGAAAAACATTATTAATGAGAGAGAAAAATAAAAGAACAGAAATTAAGAAAACAGAAGATAATGATTGACATTGCATTTAAATTTTTGAAGATCAGAGTTGACTGGAAAGCAATAAACTGGAAAAGAGTTCCACAAGTGAGAAGTGCGAGAGTTAGTTAGAGTGTTAGATTAGAACTTACAGTTGCATCTAGCCTTTTCAACTGTAAAATGATGAGACCTAGCTGTCAGTCAGTCAGTCAGTTAAGTGCCATGCATGATACACACTTAGGCGATCATGTCTCTTTCGATTCATGACTGACTAGGCAAAAGATTTTTCCATAGTAGTTTGCTGTTTTTTTTCTGCAGTGGATTGTTTGCTACCCAAGGCTATAGGACCCAGTCTGTCTACTATCCAACCCATAGCTGGGGGCAGAAGAGATGGATTCATACATTTCTCAAGGGTAATTGCATATAAGTGAATGTAATGAACCCAACAAGAATTTGAACTTGGCTCTCCGATTTATCATTCCAAGCCATTATCCATTACACCACAACCCACATCTAGTATGGAAGTTAAACTTGTAAAGTTGAGGTGCCAAAGAGGAAAGCTCATCAGAACAATTACCATGAAAACAATTATAAAAAAGACAACCGATACCTTCATCTGCTGAAATAGACTATTCCTCATATGAGGTAATTGTGGATTTTATAGTTTATTAATTATATTGCTCTGTATTAATAAATCCATTAGCTATTTTTGGTGGATCAGTTTTAATATTTTATATTACTAGGACCCACTTGGATTATATACCAAAGGTTTGTTAGCTTTATTATATATATATATATATATATATATATATATATATATATATATATATATGACCTGGCAGCCAACAAGGAAAGTAACCACAATACCTTGTCAGTCGTTTTTAATGAAACTTTGTGTGTGTATATATAGTGGACATAGGAATGAACACTACATGGTGACTGGCAGTTCCAAGCCTCAAACAATCTTCAAATCAATATGAAGCTGACTGTCACTATGCAGTATTGATTCTTATGTCCACACGGTCTATATTTATTTACACTCTCTCATCAATATTGAACATTCTTCTCCCCATAAATAAGTTTTTTATATATATATATATATATATATATATATATATATAAGCATATTTTAAGTCAGCCATAAACCCCAAAAGTAAGGAACACATAAATAATCTAACTCCTTACTATATTATGTGCAATTGTACAACAATGTTGCAGGATAATATCTGGAGCTTGTCAAACTTATAAGAGGCATGTCAATTGTATATGAAATGATGTTAAAAATTTTGCCAATTGTTCAAATAAAAATAAATACAAAAAGTCTTTGATTAAATCTGAAGAATCTTTATTGCTGTAAATTTGATATTAAAATCTGTTTGTATATTTGGTTTTTCTTCTGCTTTTTTTTATATATAAATATTAAAATTGAAAAATTTTGTAAAATATTCCAAAAAGAAAATTATAAAAATCTTAAACACATGAAATCGTTGTTGTTGTTTTTATCACATAACTGTTTTATCACTTGTGATCTAGTGTACTCGGATGGATCCAAACCTAGTTCTAGATTTTTCCCTGTACCAACCTATGCCATAATAACCAACAAACAAGATAGTTTCTATAAATAGTTTGTTCACATAGAAAACTTTTTTAAAATTATTTCACTCCAAGCAAGGCAATAAAGCCACTAACATGAGTATTTTTATGACAAAAAAAGCACTATTAAAGAGAGAGACCAATAAAAGAACAGGAATTAAGAAGACAGAAGATAACAATTGACATTGCATCTAAATTTTGAATATCAAAGCAAGAAGACAGAAGATAGAACGACAAGTGAGAAGTGCAAGAAAAACTGTTAGCATAGTACTTACAGTTACATCTAGCCATTTCAATTGTAAAATTATGAGGCTTTGCTGCTAATCTGTGCTTAAATTTGTAAAGTCTAGGTACCATAGAGGAAAGTTCATCAGAACAATTACCATGAAAGTATTTATAGAAAATACAAATTAAACTGAATACCTATTAGGAAATATATAAAAGAAAAGTGAAATAAGGTCTTTCATTGCATCAGTGAGGTGACTCATCTATAAACAGTGAGAGAAATTGAAACCTGAACAGACGTAAAGTGGTTTTGTTGAATTTTTATCAATTGATGTAGCAACTTACATTTTGTACTTATTGCTAGACTGTCATGCAACACATTTCTTACCCTTTGATGCATAAATTATATTTGTGTCTTGGCAATTCTCAGGCTGTGATAAAAATACGACTGAGATTGTGCTCAGTGAGATCAGGGAAGTCAAGAAGGGGATGTCCAGTG